TCAATAATTATATTAATAATCTATATAATATTCTTCTTATTTACCTTTTCTCCATTTTTTTATAACTTGTGGATTGTTTCAAAATTTGATTAAAAAAATATTATCAGTTATAAAAAAATGGAGAAAAGGTAAATAAGAAGAATATTATATAGATTATTAATATAATTATTGATAAATCAATATGTTTTACAAGCACTTGAAACATTGATAATAAAAAATAAATAAATAAATAATATAAAAAATCAAGTTGTTTTAGAAGTTTCTGGCTATAGTAGAAGTATATTAATATAAAAGCAAATAAACAATATAGATAGAATAAATGAATTTATTTAAATTTAATAAAAGAAAAAATTTAAAATTTAAAGTTAAAAAATATTTTTAAAAGGAAATATACTAGTTAAAATTTTTTTATTAAAATAAAATCAGGTTAATTTAAACATATTTAATTTAATTTAGTTAAATCAAAGCAATTATAGTTAAGTATATTTTGAAATAAGTTTAAAATATATCAAATCAGTTTCAAATTGATTTCACATCAAATTAAATCAAATTGAATCAGATTCATATTCAAATTGAATTGAATCAAACTATTATAAATTAAATCAAATCAGATTAGTTTAAAATGAATTAGATTTATATTTAATTTATATTTATAAAAACTGAATTGAATCAAATCTAGTTAAATCCAATTCAATTTGATCTATTGTGATTACTATTTATGGCCAAGATCCTTTCTGATCATGTAATAAGCAAATATTACAAGACATTTCAGTAATTTTAGTACTGAAGTCATTTCAGCACAAGACAGGTTCTAACAAGCTCTTGCAGATAGGTTGAAGATCTGCATGTCATAAAAAGAAGGGACTAATAAAGCTTAAGCACATTAATAAGAAAAGAATTTCTATCAAAATCAATATTCGTTCAAGACTCCATATAGTTACCTCATATGCAAGCTGCAATAAGTCATATAAAAAGAGTTATTAATAGGATGTAACAATATCTAAGATTCTACTTGAATATTCAATAAGCATACTATAATAAGTATTGTAAAAAGAACACCCAGTGGAATGAGATATAAAAGGAGTTCTATGTTACAGTTCCAGAATTTGTAGAGCATTATATGTAAGGATCAAGGAAAGGTAATACATATATAGAAAGTTGGATAGTAGGACCTTTTTTGAAAATAAGCTACATTGGCAGGTTATATCTAAAAATAGATTCGTGTTAATTGTACTATAAAAACACACATCTGTATAGATATTTTCAAGATATATATAACTAATGTATGCCTTATATAGCTGGAACTCCCTGTATATGTGCGCAATATCAATGTAAGAAACTGAGCTTTGTTATTCCTAATAAAAAAAATTTCAATTATATGGTTAAAAATCTATTGTTTTAAACAAATAGTACTAGATTTCATCTATCAATTTCTTTTTTTTATTAATAACATTATCTTTTAATAAACTTTATACTTAAATCAAAACATTTAAAACTTCTTTTAATATATTTGTATGATCTCTATCTACTTAAAATTATCAACTTTAATATATCATACCTTTTTAATTAAAAATAAATTTCTGTTATGGTTGTCTATTTATTTATCTATTTGATCTAAAGATTATTGTATAGGTTGACACTAGATAAAAGAAGATGGGCAACATCAACAAATCCTTTATTAGCACATACGTTTATGAATTGCATGCAAGAAACTATCAAAGTCGATGCAAATTGGAGATACAGTATATTAATGAACATGACTTGTATTATTTTTAATTCGTACTTATTTCATGTGAATGAAACAAACTATGAAAATCTTATTTGGATACAATTTATTTTGTAATTTCAATTGCTGACAAAGAAATATTGAAAAAAGACAATGTGCCAATTCAAAAATGCAATCTTGTAAAGAAATCAAGTCTGAGCTCAGAGCCATGGCCACGGAGTGGTACCACAATTGCCTGACTTTAGTCCAATTGAGAATACAGTATGTGGAGGCCTGGATTCATAAGAACGTAATGAATCTGATTTGAAGGAGGTTGTTACTGCTAAACTCGATGTCCAACAGTGTGAAGAAATGATAAAAAGAAAATGGATACGCAACATGGTGGTAGTTTATCCATAGGGAATAAAAATCGGCTTAATTTAGTGCGACCCGTCTGTACGTAATTTTTCACTAATAAAAAATATTAGTATAATAATGAAATACTCATGAGAGGAAAACCCCTTGAACTGTTGCGTCTGATTAGTAAAAATAAATTAGGAAAAATTTTAATATTAAAAGCTCATTGGTGAGTCATTTGTATGTGATAAGAATATGGTTGTGCTTAGTTCACACAAGATTAACCCAAATAAAGGTTATTGCGACATGAAAGGGCACGCCGTGAATTAAATGGTGTAGGACGGGAAGGCTCGGGTCACATTTTGGAAATAAGCTTACGTTGCCGATTAGACTGATTAATTAGAAGATTCCGATTTGTAGTAAAGAAACCAAGAAAAGTCTTTAATTTACATTGGGTTAGGATTTTGATAAAGCTGTTCAAAAAGACTGTTATTGTTGAACTTGTCGACCGAGTTATTTCATATTGATGGGAATCAAACGCTAGATAATTTCAAAAGGATAAAGTAAATGATCGTATCATGTTACAGTATATAAAATTTTAGTTCACGGTTCAAGCTTACTTTCTTGTTCTTCTGTAAGTACAAAAGATTATTTCTTTAATAAACATTATCCGCACAAGTTTTAAGGCATTAAAAGATGTTTACCGGGTGTAGGTTGAGTCATGCTGTTGAATGTGTTGTAAGTCCTGCTTGATGGAATTTCCCATTCGTGAAAAATCTTTCCAATATGCCGTGTAAATTTCCGAATACTCTCCTTTATACAGTATATACTCTAATTGTTCAAACTTAATCCAATTAGGACTGAGGGTGTTTTTTGTGACATGTCTGAATTATTTTTATTCCCAGACAAAATCTTCCTACAAATACATTTCACAGTATTTTAAGGCGTGACACACTATGTGACAGACGTCACAAGTCCTTTTTTTCATTGACTCTTAAATACTGTTTATGCTATACAACTGTTGAGTTCGTCTAAAGAGTAATTCCTCTTCGTTTATATAAAGCGAGCGAAAATGTTCCTCCCAATTGTCTAGATCTGAGGGAAATTTATTCAAATTGAATTTATTCTGTAATCAAAAAACACGTTACGTACTAGGCATTCTATAATGAACTTAAAAGGCTTCTTTATATGCGTGTATCGTGTAGTATTGATCGTTTACGTATCATACCATTAATTTCTAGAAAATGAATGCAAGAGGACTGTATATTTATTACGCCAACATAAGGAAAGAAAATATCAAGATAGTCAAGAAATTATCTATGTTGGTAAGAATCTATTGTCTAAGGGTACAGGTTAAAAATACGGAAAAGAAGATTTCAATTTATCCTATCAAGACCTCACAGGCGGTATTTGCCGGAGTTCCTCGGTGCATCAAGAACACGTATACGCGGCCCGGTGGCATGACGTTCGCTCGTGGTGGAGATTGGATGTTAGCAAGGAATATTCCATTGCCAACCGTTATCACCTGGAGTACTTTCAATTCGACATATCGCTGTGACATATGCGCTGAATGAGTCTGGAACCCCAGGTTAATGAGTGACGCTCTAATTTCAGGTTTCACACCGGCAGGAAGTTTAAATCTCATGGTGAAAATAGATCCGTAACCAATCCTGATGGGATTTTTTTGGTTAAATAAAGTTGTTCCGTCGAACTGGAGAACAGTAGGTCGTGGTACGCCGTTTTTCAAATAAGGTGGAGTGAACATTTCTACTCTGTACCT